ATATAGATGATGACTAACTGATTGAGAAGCTTCTAGAATGATCTTGGAGGATTCTAGAAAGTTGTGGAAATTTCATGAACTTCTCATTTGATGGCATATGGAATATCTCTTATCTCATGCTTTCACCTTTGTACACTTGTGTTAAAATCTCCTTTCATGAGATATTGGAATGACAAGAGAGCTTTCATGCCTTTATTTTTGCTTTATGTTGAACTTCTCATGTGTATCTCATTATGCAAGTAACAAAATAACAAAGCAAGTCCAAAAATCAACCCTTAACTCAAAAAAGTGGCTGAACCAATGTCTTTAGAATGATGTTGGGAATCAATTTGGTATATTGGATGACCCATATTGGATTTGTAGATCTCTCAAACCAATTTTTCATTTCAACTTTTTCAACTTATATGCCTTTTTAGGTCATTTTTCACCAACCTTGGTCAAGTCTCATTCTATGCATTTCCAAACCTTCATGACTTCTTTTCTTGACTTAAAATGGCATTTTGAGAAACTTTTATGTTGTGAAGTTTTTCATTTGAAGCTTCCTTGTATGAGTTTTAGGCATAGGCTAAGAATGACCTGTAATCCTCAGATGACCAAAATACCCTTTGCTTGCCAAGACCATAAGTAGAGTTCCACAACTCATATGAAGGCATACCATACCATTCTAGAAATCTAAGACAATGAGGAAAAATTCTTATGTTGACCAGAAATTCATTTGAAATCTCCTTGAGGGGTAAAAATTGCTTGGAAGTCAAGTCACTTTCACAGACAAAATTTCAAATACCTCAGATGACCTGTAACTTGCAAGGACCATAACTTGAGTTCTATAAATCTCCTTAATGTCTTCCACCACTCAAATTAAAGGTCTTGAGATCCTCTACAAGTTTCATGTTGGCCAAGGATCCATTTAAAGTTTGCATTTTGACTTATCTTGCTTGGAAATTTGACCTAAACTAGGGGATTTTACACAGAAACCCTAATTTAGCAACTCCTCCTCTCCTTGATTTCTCTTGATTCCTTCTTAGCATAACAACATATCCTCCTTTATATGTCAAATGATGAACCCCACATCTCTCCAATAGCCCTTAAAGCCTTGCAATCAATCAATTGACCTAGAGTTGACCCAGAGTTGACCCCAGATAAAACCCTAGTTGACTGTCTTCAACTGCAATTCTTGTGATCATATCAATGACTGGTCTCCTTCTCCAAATGACTTTCTAAGTCTTCCATGATGCCCACATGCTCTCCATGCTCAGCCCACAGCTTACAATTTCTTTGATGATCCCTAGATACCCTTAGATAGGAGATGGATGCACTTGCTTGATCCATTGACTTGATATCTTTCAAATTCTTTCTGATGACTTGAATGGGATTGAATTAGAATAATAACCTCTTGATAGGCTCATAGAGATGAGAATAATGATTGGTCCCCTGTTGGATGACTTGCTATGCTCATGCTATGCAGATGAGTAGACTATGTACATGACTCTATATGCAAATGCTAATGATATTGAAACATAAACCAAGTGAATAAGGTTGAGCAAATTTTAGGGTGCAACAGTATTGTAAAGGTGAGTGATACATAGATAAATTTAAAATTTGCTGATCACACCACTAAGCGGTCATATGGGGTAGCAGAAGATGTACTGGTCACAATTGATAAATTTAGCTTTCCAGTTGATTTTGAGCTCATGGATATTTCGGAAGATGAAAAGACTCCTATCATTCTTGGTCGATCATTCTTGCTTACAAGTATATGCATTTTTGATATGGAAAAAGGCATTATGACTTTAAAAGCATATGATGAGGAAATAACGTTGAAAGTGTTTGAGATCAAGAACCAAAGAGAGGAAAAAGATAATCGCTCTCCAATTGGCATGATCAGAACATGTAGTGGAGGTCAAATCCTAAGATCACCACCGGAGAAAGTCTCACACATAATCTCGCAGAGGGGGCCATCGTCTTAAGCTTCAACAAGCATAAGCACTCAAAGATCCATTCCTAAAGTCGAGAGAAAGAGGAAAAAATGGCATCAAGGTAAGGCTATGGAAGCGGAAAGTCACTTGTTGTAAAAAAGGGAATCTATCTATGAAAAAGATGGTTTCCTTGTTTCAAAAAGGATAAGCAACAAGGTGTGGAAGCTGAAGCATCTGCCATAATAGGGCAAATGAACCGTAAAGTCATGCGACGTTAAACGAAGCGCTACGTGGGAGGCAACCCACACTTTTAATCACTGTGAGTTACACCTTTCTCTCTTGTTCTAAAATATTAAAGCCAATGTTTAGTTCAAGTTTGGGGGAGGATTTACTGTTTTAAGTTTCCTTTTAAGTACTTTTTATTTGTGTTTTGTGTGCTTTTGATTAAAAACCTCTTTGAATTCTCTCTGAATTAGGACCGTAGAAATTTTTCTTGTAAATATTGTGATTATGAGGTAGTCAAGAAAGTATATAGAGTTTGAGAGAATAAGAGTTAGAACTAGGGACATTGGGAAAGTTTGAAAATTGAGGTATAACCTGAACACCCTAGATCCCCAGAGTAACGAAACGAGTCCAACATGTAGATTTGTGCCATAATACTTGGATTTAAGAAGTATTCCCCGATTAGTTCTTAGTGATAGTCCGACATGATTAAAAAGAATTGCATGTATAGGGTTGATTGAGAGAATGACTTAAGGCACCGAAAATGTGAATAATGGCGGTAAAGACAACTAGTCCTTCTAAGTTGGGTAACTCTCACCCGGTTATTTAGCCTAATGACAGTTGAGTCTTAATTGTCATCCCAAAGTGGAATAGTAAACGCCAATGTGCGAGAAAAAAAATAAAGGTGACTAGAAAAAAGTCTCGATCAATTTTGTACATGTGAGGGAAAACAATCATAAATGCCTTAATCTGATTATCCGAATGAAATGGGTAGAAAATCGAAGAAAAGACTTAAGCCCAAAGCATAGTTGGAGAGGTAACCGAAAGGGGGATTTAGGTTCGTGGTTTTACCGTAGTTTGTGTTTGTGTAATACCTTCGTTAACAGACGATTACCAAGAGAACTAGTTTTAGCCGATCGGAACAAAGGCTCACGTATGAGTATTGACACACCTTACCTTCACAAGTATTTCATTTGATGTGTACCGTTTGATCAATGATTTTTATGCTTTCTTTTACCATTAATTTTAGTTAACCTTGTTATATATTTAGTCACTTTATCTCTCTTTTTCCGCATTTTATGCTTTGATTGTGTCTCTTTAATGTTTTAGGTTCAAATAAGCATTCAAAAAGAACTCGGTGCGAGAAATAGGAAATTTATGGAGTTTTGTCCATCCTACAGGGGGCTAACACGGGCACCTGTGTCACCTGACACGGGCCGTGTCAGCATACACGGAAACAGTGAGAATTGGAAATTGAAGACAGACAGTGAGTTAACACAGGCACCCGTGTCACTTGACACGGGCCATGTCAGCAAGCCTAGAGAGAAAAGGTGGAATTTGAAGAAACTAGAAGGATGACACGGCCACCCGTGTCAGCTGACACGGGCCGTGTTGGCCTTGACGCTGATTTTTCCCGTTTTGCTTATTGCACTAAATACTGACCTAGAGGGTATTTTTGGCATTTCCACTTACTGTTATGTGATTTTTCGCTATTTAGAAGAGTTTTTGAAAAAGGAGAAGGAACTTTTTGACAGGAGAAGAATTTTACGATCAAAGATTGGAGAGTGCAAGGTTTTCGGAGGACGAAGGATTTTCATGAGCGGAAGCAATTGACGATCCGAGTTTATCCAAGTTCTTGTAATGTCTACTTTTTACATTATATTTATCCAATGCTAAGGGTGTCCCTGATTTGGATCTGTAATGACTCTGATATTAGTATTGCAATAACAATCCTTTTTATTTTTCATAATTGATTTGATCTCTAACTATTCTTAATATTTGTCCTGTCGGACAAAGAAGATTTGATTTTCGATTAACGATTAGGTTGGACCGCCGTGGTTAATGCTTTGTTTTGGATTATTCTATAGTAGATATCACTTATAACTAGGGATATCCTATAGAAACTGGAATATTCTTGATAATTGATTGCTTAATTTCATCTTTAATTCTCTATGGACATAAGAATTAGGGTAGATGATTAAATATTTTCTCACTAAGGATTTAAGAGTAAATATTCTAAAGAATCGGTAATCAATTAGTTACAATAAGTTGTTGCAGTGTTAATTCAGTGTTGTTACTATATCGGATCATACATCATCTCTAACATAGTTTACTCATATATTTTCTAAAATTTCTCAATTACTTTCTTTCTTTATTTTATGTGCAATTGTTTTATTATTTCACCAAACAATCTAAAACCTCCCAGCTTTTGTTTAATTGAATTGAACTCATACCACTATATCCTCAAGCACCTTTTAAGATTGACATTTGAAATTTTATCTTTTATTATTACATAAACAAAATAATACACTTGTTATTTTTTCCATCAACAAGTACAAAAAAAAAAAATTCCATAACCCCAATCGAAGAAACTTTGTACAAAAGAGACTTGTCTAAAAAAGAAAGAGACTGCCTACACACTATTAAAGGTACACGAAGAGATAATCAAACAATATCTGGGTGTCAGAGCATTGACCAAAAAGGTTCTGAGAGCAGTGTATTATAGGCCGTCTTAGCATTTTATTTCAATTTTATCTCTTTTCAAAATAAAGTGTTTCCATTTATTTATTTATTTTATTAATTCTAAACCGTTAGATGATGGGCGAGAATGATGGCTGTGGCGGAAGAAACTGCAGTAGATGATCTATTTTCACTGCCTTCGTAGGGCCGGCATCAACCGTCAAAGAAAAAGGGCAGTCATCAAACAAATCACGACATTCAGATACAACCAACATGCCAACCTGAGAATTTAAAATTGGAAACTATTTAAGTTATGAAAAATAAAAAATGTGGAAACTTCAGTGTGAAAAATTACTTGGTACTAATTGGAAATTACAGCCAGTAGTAGCCACGCACTCAGTAATGGCGCCAAGTAGCGAAACTGATGATCGAAACGACGCCGTTTCATCTGATACACTTCCGGACGAAATAACCGCCACCAACAGGCAGCCTTTGAACTCCTCTACCGGAACCCTAACTTCACCATCACCATCTTCCTCCGATTCGACGCCACTTCCCTCTCTTCCATTCGAGATTATAGTAGAAATTCTCACTAGGGTTCCCGTGAAGTTTCTCATGCAATTCCAATCCGTCTGTAAGTCCTGGAAATCTCTTATCTCAGATCCCAATTTCGCCAAGCAACACCTTCGCGTGTCAACAACGCGCCACCATCTCCTTTTAACCTTCGGATGCCCCTCTCGCGAGTTCGTCTTCACAGCTTGTCCTCTCTCCTCCGTCTTCACTGAAGTCACCGCCACCGCCACACAGATAGAGTACCCTCTCAACAATCGAAACAGTTTTGATCAAATCATTGACTCTTGCCACGGCATCCTCTGTTTCGCACTCAATCAACGTTTCGTTTTATTGTGGAACCCTTCCATCAGGAAATTTACGAAATTGCCCTCTTTGGATAATCCAGATCGGGAGAGGAGTTACACAGTATATGGATTTGGCTATACTCATCTCAGTGACAGTTACAAGGTGGTTGCTGTTTCGAGGTTCTGTGAATCTGAAACTCAAGTGAAGGTTCTTACTTTGGGTACCAATGCTTGGAGAAGGATTCTGGATTTTCCTTTAGGTGTCACTTTCTATGGCTCAGGAAAATTCGTAAGTGGAACTGTTAACTGGTTGGCATCTATAAATTCATATTCTTCATGGGTCATTGTTTCTCTTGATTTGGAGAAGGAATCTTATCAAGAGTTGCTGCTGCCTGATTATGGAGGGGTGACTGTGGTTACTTTATCATTAGGGGTCTTGCAGGATTGTTTGTGCATACTTTCTAATAGTGATACCTTTTCAGATGTTTGGCTTATGACAGAGTACGGAAATAACTATTCTTGGACTAAATTGTTCCGCATTCCTTACATGGGAGGTGTTGGGTTTTGTCCTTATAACAAGACACTTTATGTTTCTGAGGATGATAAGGTACTACTGAAGTATCAGTCTAGTTTGGTTGTTTACAATGCTAGAGATGGTACTCTTAAAACTCCTGAAATTAAAAACATCAATGGTTGGGTGGTTCCTGAAATCTACCAAGAGAGTTTGATATCACCTTGTTCTTAATAGTAAAATGTATGTAGTTATATAGATGCTATATTATGCCACTTGTGCATGAGGTTTATGAAGAACCCATCTACTGGATTCTTCAACTCCGTGACTGCAACTTGTATGTTAATTTCTGTTTGTGTTATATACCTTATATTTGTTTATTACTTCATGGATTATTGTTCATTATTAGCTGAACAAATATGTTGCTTGAGGAACTGTGTGTTAGGTTTAATATGTTCGATAGGTAAGAGTTTTTGTTGGTTCTTCAATTATGCATTTCAAAGATATGGTTACTGGTTTGGTTTTTCAAAGATTGGAACTGGGTTCTATGTCCTTTGGTTGTCACTTGTATGTTAAAATGTTTGAGGACTGCCACACAAATTTTATGATCTGTACTGCAAAACCTGGTGTTGCTAGTATGTTGTGAAGTATGTGTTGGACATTTTCAAGGAAACTAATGTGTTGCATTTTTAAAACTACGACCTTCCTATGGATCCTAATGTTGTAGTTGTTTTTCAAAGGAAGTATGCATTAGAAAGGAAGTATGCATTAGACATTATTGAGGTAACTGGCATGTTACATTATAAAACTGTCGAGTCTCATTGAGATCCTAATGTTAAACTTCTCGTTGGACTGGAGGACCCATTTACTCATCTAAGAAGGCACCAAAGACCTATTGGTAAGCTAAATTATATGTAATAATACTATCATCTATTCAGATTCAGACATTTCATTTAGTGAGTCAATTACTTAGTTCGTCTTTTGATTGTCTGCAATTTCATTGGTTGTTTCAATGGTGAGCCAATTACTCAAATAATAGTGGTAGGTAACCCAAGGTCCAGTCAATGAAAGTATTTTGCGGATCGTCAATATGTGAAAAAGTAACCTGTTGAGATCAAACATGCTAATCAGTCATTTTCAAACCAAAATTTGCAGCAGCTGATTCTCCAAGGTCTTATATCCAATCATGCTGCCTAACAACTTCACAATCATACCATGTCTTTATTGTTTATGAATTCTCTTATCTTCCTTCATTTAAATGTGGAATTATCAACAACACCAGAATATTAACCCAGAAGGTACTTGTATTTATAATTCTTGCAAATAGATAAAAGTTGCCCTTGTATTATTTATTCTTGCAAATAGACAAGTCAATACAAAATATATATAATCAGTGACCGGAACAAAGGTGGTTTGAGGTGAATATGTATCATGAAAATGGGTAGTAATAGTAGGATTGAGAGTATTTGATTGTGTGAAAGATGTTTGTTCTCTGAAAGTGTCAGGGTGGGTTAGTAGGGTAAGAAATGTCATGAAAGTCGCAACAATTTGAATTTTTACCATCAGTAACCGATCCTTCTCTAGAAGGGGTAGTCTTATTGCTTTGAGAAGGAAATACATTCTCAAAGAAAATAGTGTTATGGGATTAAAAAAAATTGTTATTTATGTTAAACAAAACACCAGCCTTTGATACCTTGATTATGATCTAGCCATGTGCCCGTTTTAAATATATAATCAAGCTTTTTCTATTATATTTAAGGATGGGGTACCAAAACAAGTGCAACCAAAAAAAATTGAAAAAACTAATATCAGGAGAAATTAGAAATAACACATTATAAGAGGATTTAAATTGAAGTAGCTTAGTTGGACCTCTATTGGTGATGAAAATAGCATGAAGGAAAAGTGCAAGTGCAACATTCATAGTGTATGTATGGATTTTCATAAGAATCTAATTTTATTGAATATAAATACAAATATTTGAGTCTCTTGAAACCAATTCAAATAGTTGTTGCAGAGACATTAAATTGTAGACATGTGTGTTCGAACTTTCAATATTTTATTTATTCATGTTTAAGGTAATTTTTAAGAAGTGAAATTTTGACTAATAAAAAAAAAATAGAAATTTGACACACTATGCCTTAATGAACTTTATTTTCTTAAAAAATTGAGTATGAATAAGTGAAACAAAAGATTTAACTAAATTTAAAGTTTGAGATTCAAGTTTGAGTATGATTAAGTGAGGCATAATGTTTTTTTTTTAATGATGATGGGTATTAAGGTAATTTTTATTTAATTTTGTTTTTAATTTGTATTTATTGTTTTAAAAAATAATAATATACTAAAAAGTCCACATGATTGCCTAATGGCTTTTACAAAAATATAAAAGGTTAAAAAATTCAACATGAATATGGCAGAGGTTGTATTATTTTTAAAGAATTTTTTAGATTCGTTTCAAATGACAGAAAATAAATTGAATGTTAATTAAAAAAAATATTAACGTTGATCATCTTTAAATATAATAGATTTATTAAAAAGATTGAATTTTTAATATAAAAAAGTAATTTAAGATGGACACTTGTTAAAAAAATTTGAATTTTTAATATACATAAAAACTAACTAAATGACCTAACTGATCAATGTATTTTAATACACAATATTTTATTTTATGTTAAGGGATTATGACTTGTTGGTTTTATTTATTGATTTTAGTGTCTTTATTAAATTTAATTAATTTATGCTTTTGTTTTAATTTGATTAATTATTTTATAAATAAACGATAATTTATCACCTTTTCGCTATGCAGATTATAACTTGAATTACGAGATGCGGTTTGACGCGTTCTAATATGTATTTGAAAGCTGAGAGAATAAGTTACAAGTTTTGTGTTGAAGTCAGAAGCTAATTCGAAGTGCAGAAGAGTCGAATAATTCGTTTTAACTTTAGACTTAATAAATTAATTAATTTTGAGCTGATTTTTATATTTTTCGTGTTTGTTGCTATTAGGACCCGATTTTCCTTGTATTATTTAAACAAAATTCACAGCATTAAGTTCATTATTAAGAGTTTACACAAAATAACATTAGACAACTACGATTCCTATAGATAACTAACTTTCCAAATGTTGATATGTTGATAACAATTTCCATCAAACTTTGACGTTATTGTTATTTCAATTCAATTTCAATTTCTTTCAATATTATTATGTGCTATTTACATTTTTAATTCAAGTTTCTTAGAATATGTTGATTTAATTCGATAAATGCATGTTCCTAAGTTTAATTATGTTTAACGTAGTTTTTTTTTAATTCGTCCAATCTTTAACGGTTTGCTTAATTCAAAAAATAAGAGTATAAATCATATAATATCAATTACGCTTGTTCAATTGATATTGTAATAGATTAGGGATCAACTCCGCTTAGAGAATTGAAGTTATGATAATCAGTGATAAGTCGGAATCTATATCAGTAAATTAACTCGTAATCAAATTATGTTAATCATGCTCTTAATTCAAACCTTAAAATTTTTCTATTTCAACCGATTGGTTAAAATAATCAATAGTCCTTACAATACAACTCAAATGTTGTTTCGGTTTATTAAGTTTTAAAATTCATTTTTAATGTGTGTACAATTGGGTATTAGTAACTTAAAATCATTTATAAGATAAGAGATTAACATGAACATAATTTAATTAAAAATCAATTAAATTTTATTATAATTAATAAATGTTCAAACAATAAGTAATTTATATGAAATATTCTTCTTATGCGATTAATATCCATCTATGAAAATTATATATAAAACGTTTTCATAACTTCATTCAACTAAACTTACCAAATAAATATTTGTTTAAAGAAGTCACAATACAAAGTGATTTGTTTAAATGTTATGAAATTGGGATTGAGATTCTCATATTTGTTTTTATTAAGGGTGAACAAATTTGAAACGTTTAATTAAAATCAATTGATTTGTTTTTTTTGTGTGTGTACAAATAGGTTGGATTGTGTCGGATATCAAGTTGATTTAGTTGTTTAATTTAGATAATATAAAATTATTTCATTCGAGTTTAAATAATTATTTTGGATCGGTTGAAAACCGAACCCAATCAAACTTAACTAATATTTATTTTATTTTATTTATATTATTATAGGACCAATCCATTATAAAAATGAGGTACATAATATTGTCAAATTATTATCATTTTTATAATTTAATGATTGTATTATGTACTCACAATAATACAAGACATGCAATATAATGTTTTAAGGGTTAGCTGGTTTGTCGTTTGAAACAGTGTTTCCGGATTCTTTTTGTATTCAATCACCTTCTACCATGAATGTCTGAAAGCGGCTTCTTTTCATCCCTTCTAGTCTAAGTCGATTGAATAGGGGTAGCTGTTGCACCTTAAAATTTGCCCACCGGTTTTCCGACTTTGACTGACTTTTGCTTCGTATTTCATCTGCATATCATTTAGGTCGCATTTTGTCCGTGTTATCGGTCGGATTGAATTTATCAGGATTTTAGCCGCTTTGCTCGCGTTTCAGGCGATTCAAATTAATTCAACCGAGAAGTTCAGTGTCGAAATCGAGCGAAAGTCGCTCTCCTCTTGATAATTCAATCCATGTCGATAATATCGGCGCATTTCGGTGCTCGCCTATTTTTCATGGCATTTTTGCATTTATTTATTATTTTTGCTTTATTTAATTATTTAGAGCAGTTTTTATTATAACCCTTTTCTTTTAACTTTTGTTTAGAAATTAGGTTTCAGAATTTAATTATATAATTTAATTTGATTTTATTAGATTTTTTATATAGAATTTAACTTTTTATTGTTTTTAAAAATAGAATTTTTTAATATAATTTAGAATTTTAAATGGTTTAGATTACTTCTTTTTAGATAGAAATAGGAAATAGGTTTAATTATTAATTTTTATATAGAATATTTTTATTTTATTTGTAGAAATAGGTTGTTAATTAAGGTTAATCATTTTTGTTAATTTCTATTTAATTAATTAGTGGTGTAGATTAGTTAGGATTGTTTTATTAGTCTTTAATTAATTTCAGCTTTCATTAAGTCAATGTTTTTCTTGATTAATTAATCATCAGTCCACTAGCACGTTAATCATCATCAACATTTAATCAAAGTCATTTAGTCAACACACTGTCATGTGTCACGAGTATATAAGCCACACTACTATTCAATGTCTCTCTCATTCAAACCCTAGCCGCAGCCCCTTCTTCCCAGCTTCATCCTCATCAAAAACCAACTTCAATCTTCATCATCCCATGAACCTTCTCAGATAAACCCAGATTTCCTGTTCTTCATTTAACCATCATCACCATCACTACAACACAACCGTGAAATTCAGACAAACTCACCTACAAACCCTTCTCAAACCTGTTTTAATCAACCCAGTTTCCGGCCAACAACAACTTCAACCATGGTTCATCACCATGATTCAACTTCTGACAACTCAAACCCCACGCATCCGCCGCTACTTCATCCCTTACCTTCAACAACCCTTCAACATTTTCACATTCCCAGCCACCATTGATTTCCGTCCTTCTTCAACCACCTTCAGTCATCACCTTCTTCACATTACCGTTCAAATTTCATTTCCAGAAAAAACCTCCTTAATCCATTTTCTCAGATTCACCATATCAGGCCTTCAAACCTTCCAAACTCACCTCCTTAACAGAAAACCACAACAAATCCCCATTGATTCAAACCTCCAAGCCCATAAAATCACTCAACACCAACTTCAAAAACCAAATCGTGAAACAAAATTCAAACCCAGAACTTCACCTTCATCTGAACTCAGATCCGTTTCAAACCTTCGATTCAACCTCCTTCGAAACATCAACCTGCGATAAACCCAAACCCTTTCACCTCAAAACCCAGATCAAACCATCAAATTCATCTGAAACCCTCTTCTTCGTAAACCACATCATCTTCTCCACTCTGTCAATCAAACATCATTCTTCAAACAAACTAAACCAATTCAGAACAACCAACAACACAAAACCCAGAACGAACCTCAAACTTCCAACTTTCCGTCATCACTTTTGCAAACCGAGCTTACCCAAAACCAGAACCGAAAATGGAAGAGAGATTCAAAATGAAACAACCAAACCATTAAACCTCCACGAAGCCATTTCCCCAAACTCCCTTCCGTTCAACTCTTCACCGTAACCCTTCATTTTCTGTCTAACCGCCGACAACAACCGCAACATCTCAAAAGTCCCACAAAATAAAAACCAAAACCAGTTCTTCTTTCTCAGAAAAACCCCCTCAACCATTGAATCTCTCCATCTCCAAACTTTCAAGACCAATCCGAAACCCACTTTCACCACAAAAACCAATTTTTCTTCCATCTCTTCAATCAATTCCTCAACTCATAAACCTCAAACGCTTCAACAGAGATAAAATGGAAGATTGAATCTTGATTCATCCAGAGAGATTTGGAGTAAACCAAAGCCGAAACAGGTTGAAAAGATGAGGAGACGAGTTGATTTTGAGACGAAGCAGAAAGAGGAGTGGAAGATGACCGAAAATGGACTTGGAGAGGAATGCTTTGGTTTCTATCATTCACTCGTTTTGATTTGGGCTTAGCCCAACGTATGAACTGGATGTCCACACTCTCGTTGTTTTTGTCTAACCCCCTCCCCCGTTTTTAAAATTAATTTGTTAATATATTTTTTTTCTAACAGGCTATATATATATATATATATATATATATATATATATATATATATATATATATATATATATATATATATATATATATATATATATATATATATATATATATATATATATATATATATATATATATATATATATATATATATATATATATATATATATATATATATATATATATATATATATATATATATATATATATATATATATATATATATATATATATATATATATATATATATATATATATATATATATATATATATATATATATATATATATATATATATATATATATATATATATATATATATATATATATATATATATATATATATATATATATATATATATATATATATATATATATATATATATATATATATATATATATATATATATATATATATATATATATATATATATATATATATATATATATATATATATATATATATATATATATATATATATATATATATATATATATATATATATATATATATATATATATATAACCCTCCCCCGTTTTTAAAATTAATTTGTTAATATATTTTTTTCCTAACAGGCTATATATATATATATATATATATATATATATATATATATATATATATATATATATATATATATATATATATATATATATATATATATATATATATATATATATATATATATATATATATATATATATATATATATATATATATATATATATATATACTTAATTTCGTATTTAGTTTTTGAAATTTGTTATTATTTTTAAAATATACTGATATTATATATTTTATATTTTTTATATCTTTATAGAATTTTGTAAATACATGTATATTAGTTTTAATTTTATATATTCTTCTCTAACTTCTCTTTAGAATTACTTTATATTAGAGTTTTTATTAATTTCTTTTAGAATTTTATTTTATTTTCTTTTAGAAGTTAAATTTCATTTTGTATTTGTTATTGGGCATTTCGTTCCATTTCATCTGTTCTGTTTTGGTCGATGAAGAAGTTTCTTTCGATTCTCCGCCAAATTATTGATGAGAAATGAAGGATTCGAGACCGACTTTTTCTCTTCTTTCTCATTTTTCGACTTTATTTCACTTCTATCTGTTTAGGTCGATGATGACATTTCCGTAATTCATTACCAGTCAAATTATTGATGAATAATGTTGGATCCGAGACCACTTCTTTCTCTCCTCATTTCTTTTCATCTTTCGACTTTATTTTGACTTTTGGTGATTGATGAAGTCTTGTAAGACGAGATCCCACTGTTTTTGGTCCATGCGACACGATTCAATTGGAGAACGATCCTCAATATTGTTTCTCTATCTTGTCCATAACACGGAAATCAATACGCGACCTCTTAAAGTTTGACTTCCCTTATAAGTCGAGCTATGACGGTTTAGCGTTACATTGGTCCAAATTCAAAACATCATCAAGGAGGAGAAGATTGGAATGGAGCTTGCACATATTGTCAAGGGTCAACGGAACCACTCCGTTCGGTAACATCTTTCTAATTCAAGTCTTTTAATCAACTGCCAAGCGTTGTGAGTTCTGAGCAATAGATACGTAGGAAATGGTGATTGAAGGGTTTCCCCTTAATGGCCTAAAGTGTTTAGTGTAGCATCCTTTGGTTGATATGCGACGCATTCGCTCCTACGCCTTAGGTTCTTGCGTGTGTGTCCCGAGTTCCTTCCCGTTTAGGCGTGTTAGGCCTGCTTCCTCTTTTCCCTCGCCTCCGTGCGATCGAAACTCCTTTCTCTCGCATCCTGGCGATTGAGACCCCCCCCCCCCTCTTGCCTCCGTGCAATCGAGACTCCCTTTTTTCTCGCTTCCGTGTGATCGAGACCGTTTTCCGCAGTTATTCGAACTACGGCTGCTCTGATATCTCATATCTGTTGAGAGTACGTAGGCATAGGATTGCAACAATCCTAGCGAGCACTCTTCCTGTTTCCCCTTAGGTAACCTGTACCTTTAAATCAATGACATACTACATACGTTCTACCGCAAATAGGTAACGCCTAAGTCTCTAATGGTCGAGTACCAATGCACCTAACTGCTAGAATGCGTACGCTAGTATCGTCCACCTCTTCTCTCACCCTGCGTGATCGAGAACACCCTATTTTACCCGTAGTTAGCCTAAACTACGTTTTGCTCTGATTTCTCGTACCAGACGAGAATACGTAGGCACAAGACGCGATGTCTTGGCGAGCAATCCCCCCCGTAGTTAGTCGAACTACGTTGACTCTGACTTCTCATTTCAGATGAGATACGTAGGCACAAAGCACCATTGCTTTGCCGAGTCACTTCTTTTTCTTTTGTCCTCAAGCCTGTAGCTAGATAGTTTTAATCACCCTTTTAGATAGACAACAAGCGTGGATCCCGTCGAGTACGACGGACGTGAGGGGTGCTAATACCTTCCCCTTGCGTAACTGACTCCCGAACCCGAGATTTGGTTGCGATGACCGATCTTATCCCTCTTTCCGTTAGGTTTTCTCTGAGCGTTTCCTTTCCCTCTCTTGGGATAAATAACGCACGGTGGCGACTCTTCTGTCATTGCCGACCTCAATTTTCGCAGTAGCGACAACTACCTCTTTTTTTTAACTCTTGAGTAATGTCCACTTCCACTAGTATCTTGACATATGAGACTTTTAATTTGTTAGGAGTACATTCATCAGTCATCATAGGGGTACCAAAAGCACTTCCAATTTTGCTCAATCTTTTGCCCCCCCATAGATGTAACGGTAGTTGTGGTAGCTTTACCCAAATTGGTAGTGTTTTCAACAAATATTGCTTTAAATTGAAACCCAGTTTCTACTCTTTAAGGATCATTGGCATATTTCTTATGGTATATGGTCCCTTCATCATCATAGTCTCAATGTCCTCATGCAATCTGAACTTGAGTAGAAAATACCACTCTTCATGATAATACATATCTGGAAGTTGGACATAGTTCCATGTCTTCATCATAAAATGTTTCACGATATGCATATTAACTTCCCCACCAAGTACATACATGATCAACGTAGACTCCCAAAATTTAACCTCCGATTCAATGTCTTCTTCATCAATCTCAGTTTTAATATCTCCATTTACTATTTTTAGCGCTACATATTCAATAATCATTTTATTTGTTGGGTTTCTTTGTTGCTTAGAATGTCAACCCATAATTTTCTAATCTCCACCATTTTATTTGTTGGGTTTCTGTTGTTTTCTCAATCCCTCGTTCATCATCTCTTTCCTTTTCATGACTTTCGATTTGTGTATCATCAGCTTCATTCATGTGAGAATTCGATTCAGCTTGGTCCTCCTTGTTGCTAGGTGTATGAATCTTCGCTTGACATACCGGCAACAGTGACACCATTTTTTTCGGCCGTCCTCGTCCCCTAGTCATTTTTTTTTGAATCAAAAGGAAGATTGAAATAATTCAAAAAAAGCAGTACAAGTACAAGGTGATCGCGAGGATCCTACCCTCATAGAAGACACAAAGATCAAATGAAAAATACAAAAAACACTAATAAGTCATCAAGTGAGCAATGTGCGGCCTAAGTTTCTGGTTATACCATCCCTTATAAACAATCATATCTATAATATTATCACCAATTTCTGTCTTATCTATGACATTACCGTAACAAATGTCATTATGATATTTCCATACACCATAAACAGTTTCTGTTATAGCTAGTTTCAGGGGGATGCTCGCCAACCCTTACTGCTCGTACTCCTGCACACCCAGTCCATTTCTTCATCCCACGATCGCGGGACATGCGGAATCTGGATCCAATATAGAATTTTGGTCCAGATGCACACCGTTTCAGGACAGCAGAATAAGAGATGATTAATAGATTCCTTCTCTTTAGAACAAAGACTACATCTATCATCGGTGATCATACCAAATCGAAAAAAGGCGTTGTTTTGTAGCCAATCTTCCGTGACATCAAATCACATAGTAATCAGAGCCCTTGGTCGAGCAGCATTACTTCGAAGTATATTCTTCCACATTACTTTTGGGGCATTACTACAAATTACCATATAAATATCATTCATCCTAAACTTGTTGCTAGTTAACATGCGATCCCATACCTGTTGAATATCCACCAAATTATCCCTGTTTTAGGATGGTCCTCATAATCCATGAGGTGTGGGGTTTGATACTGACATTCGTCCCCTAATCATTGTTTCAATTAAAAAAGAAATATTACTTTATTATTTATTGTAATTTAAATACATTTATTATCTTATATATAAGATTTTTTAATAAATAAATAAATTATGTCACATAAGTAACTAGTAATTAATTTGAGTAAATATTTTATGGTTAGTAATTTTTATTTAAAGTAAGCTTTCAGTACTTTAAATCAATTTACTATCTCAATTATAGGTTTTAAATAAATAAATAAATTTATTATTATTATAATATTTTATTTATTATCCAAATATTTTTATATATGAAAACATATTATTGTTGTTCAAATTTTTTTATAAATTGTGTTATTTTTATAAATGGAATAAATTGTATCTTTTACACAAATATTTTTATAAACTAGAAAAATTATATTGTTAATACAAATATATTTAAAAATAGAAAAAATAAATTGTTAGTATAAATTTTTTTTATAAACGAGAAAAATATATCATTAATACAAGTATTTTTATAAACAAGAAAAAACGTATTGTTGATAAATATAATTTTATGACAAAATTACAACAGAGGTCTTTAAGTTATTTATTTGTTGATTTTTAAATTTTTTTTAACAATTTGATCATTTAAATTAACAAAAGTGTTGAATTAGAATCCTATTTTATGTATTTAATATGTTACTGTATGTAATTTGGTGCTACTATAATAAAAAATTTAAAAAAAAAATATAACAACCCATAACTTAAATGACTAAGTTGTTATAAAACAAATTCAAAGATCAATTTATTACAAACAAATAACTTTAAGGATGATGATATAATTATGCCTAATTTTATAAACAACCATTTTTATCTATGATGAAAATTTTACTATTGCTCCAAATTTTTTATAAATGATGTTAAAAACAAAAATCAATATACCTAATATTTCCTCTGATCTTAATTAAAAAGGATAATTAATTTTAGATTAATTGACTAATTAATATATTTATGTATCTATTGATTATTATAATAATCTAAAAAGTTAATTGTAAAAGTAGGGACTAGAGTCCATCGCCTATAAAAAATTAAAATTATGATCCTATAACCTATAAAGAATTGATTCACGTTAAAGGCTGACTACTAACCCTTGCCAGCCACATGCTATTAGCCATATTCGGCGAAGAAGGAATGTCGTCCGAAACCCTAACATCACCGTCTTCTTCCCTTCATGCACCGCCACTTCCCAGTCTTCCATTCGATCTAGTGGTTGAGATTCTCTCTGGGCTTCCAGTAAGAACCCTCATGCAACTCCGGTGCGTGTGCAAGTCCTGGAAATCTCTAATCTCCGACTCCGAATTTGCCAAGAAGCAACTTTGCGCGTCAATGTCAATCACCAGTCGCCATCACCTCATATTATCCGTCCGCAGCGAGTTCCTCTCCATGGCTTGCTCTCTATCATCCTTCTTTGAAGAAGGAACCACAACCACCATGCAGCTAGAGTACCCTCCGGAAATAAATCAAACTAGTATCGTTCACTTAGTTGGCTCTTGCCATGGCATCCTCTGTTTCAAACACGATCGAGGTCGGGTTCTTTTGTGGAATCCTTCCATTAGGAAATTTACGAAGTTGCCCCTATTGGAAGAGGCGGGTCATCACTCATCATTCCAATTTTCCTTTGGCTATGATAATTTTAGTGACAGTTACAAGGTTGTTGCTGTTTCATGCTATGAAACTTATGTTATTAATGATATTTGGGCTCACAAATATCAAGTAAATGTTCATACTTTGGGCACCAATTCTTGGAGAAAAATGCAGGACTTGCTTTATAATATCATTTTGGATAGCGGTATTTTCGTTAGTGGAACTATTAATTGGTTAGCATGGAGAGATTGGCATCCTCCAGGGGTCATTCTTTCTCTTGATTTTGAGAAGGAATCTTATCAAGAGCTTCTGCTGCCTGATTTTGGAGGGTTAGGTATAGATATGTTAGACTTAGGGATGTCTAAGGATTGCTTGTTGATATTATCTCATGGTGATACTTTTACAGATGTTTGGCTTATGAAGGAGTTTGGAAATAAAGAATCTTGGACTAAATTATTCCGAGTTCCTACCGATGGTGGATACAATATTGAAGCTTGGCTACTTTATTTTTCCGAGGATGATCAGGTGCTAGTGGGTATTTACCCAAAGTTTGTTATTTACAATTCTAGAGATGGGACTTTTAAGGATCGTAGTAATCAAAACATAAATAGTTCGTGGGTTGAAAGAGATGTCTATCTTGAGAGTTTGATATCACCTTGTTTCTAGAGATGACGCTTTCATAGATTATTGATCTGTTATTGGTAGATGGAATTTGCAGCATGAGAAGGTGCTATGGTAGCAGTAGGTGTAATTTATTTGTTAGTAAGAGTTTTTGGTTCTCTTGTTGTGTAACTCATTATATATTTATGGTATTTGGTTTTCCAATGTTGGAATTAAGTGTTATGTCTAGTCACTTGTATGTTTGTTGAAATTACTGCTACCGGCTACGTAAGTTTCATACTGTGGGGCAAACTGCGCTAAGATGTATGAAGCAATGTGAAGTTTCTTTGAACTAGTTTATTGAAATGTCCAAGTCTAAACAATCTATAGTCTGTTGTTTCAGGTATCCTTGATTTTATTATTAGTACCCACCACCATGCATTTTTCTTCTCAAACTGTTTGATGTTTAAGTTTAAGCTATTAATAGTGTCCTTATTAGCTTTTATTTTGTACAAAGTGTTTGTGGTTTAGTAGACTCATTTTGCATCAGAGGTAGACTCATTCACCACCGATCAAATACTAAAGCTACAAGTTTATTGTGGAAAATTTTTTCCTTGCAATTGAGTTAGTGATCATATATGAAATCATCATGGGAATCACTTCAAGAGAAATTGATATTGATAAACCTTATTTGTAAGTTATGGCAATTCTCTAATCTATTGCTATTATGTCGAATTATTTGAGATCCAACATTTATTTAACTGGTGATGAAATTCTTGAGTATTAATAGATTGGGTTGGTTGAGTTAAAATCATGTGATCAGTTTTAATAAGTTGAATTAGCTGAGATAAAACTATTTGGTAATCAATATTATATTTGTGCAAAACCATTAACTGATCAAGATTAAATTTTTAAAGTGATAATTGGTCAAATTAATTGAAAACAAACTATTAGTTGACCCAGAGTAGACTTTAGAATGTTAAAATGGGAAATTAGATAAAATAGAATTATTTGTTTATCAACATTAGACTCATTATTACAAAAAGGATTTATAATAACGCCCATGTTACCATGTCTAAAGGATCTACCATACTAGAATCTATTCAATAATTTTTATTTATTTTTAAGCCACTTTTCATCACTGTTGGAAGATTCAACCGTGGTAAAAAGTGGCGCATGGTCGTTCAAATCTTAATGTCTTTGTCTTTGTTGTTCTACTACTGCATTTTTTATATTTTATTAAAAGACATACAACAACGGTTGTTTAATACAATTGTTGTTGTATATAGCTAGGGCTGGAAATGAGTCGAGTCGAGTCGAACTCACCTCAGCTCGGCTCGACTCGTTAAGAATTGTTCGAATTCGAGTTCGAGTTCGAGTTTGACACGAACTTTTTTTTAAGCTCAAACTCGACTCGTTATAAGTTCACGAACAGTTCGGTTCGACTCGTTAGGTTCATCTCATTAGGTTCAGCTCGCATGGTTCACGAACTTAAATAAATATAATATATATATATTTAGTATATTTGACATTTTAAATAAATATATATATATATTTTAAATAAAATATTAAAATAAAATAAAAGTTATCATATTGAAATTTAACTTTATCTTCGAAATCTACTAATTCAAAACCTACACAACTTTCAAGAGATACATTTGAGAGTCTAATTCAAAAACTACTAAATTGAAGATTAAATTTGTCTAAGATTTGAAGTAAATATTTAAACCTAATCTTAAAGACAGTATAATTCTTTTCATATGTAATCGAGTTGACTCATGAACCTAACGAGTCGAACTATGTATAGTTCAAGTTCAGCTCATTTAGTTAACGAACTTAATTTTTCGCTCATACTCAACTCATTTGGTTCATGAACCTAGTTCAACGATTTAATTGTCGAGTCGAATTCCGAACTATGTTCGAGTTGGTTTGGTTCATTGCCAGCCCTATATATAGCGCATGATCATAAGTTCGAATCTTGTTGTTGTTGTTGTTGTTGTTCTACTGCTACATTTTTTTATATTTTATTAAAAAATATACAACAACGGTTGTTTATAGGCAAATATAAGTGTGTTTATTGAGTTTTTTCATTTTTCTTAAACAAATCTTTGTTGTCTATTTAGTAAGTATCAACGCTCAAGAACCTACCATTAGTGATCCGCGTGAACTAAAACTTAGACGAACTTTCAACTTAGATAAACTTCATCTTCTACCTCCAAACATCATCTTTCATTTACAACACTTTATTTCTCCATTAAACTATGCTCGAAAATGTATGGATTCAAGTTAGCAATGTTAGTTGTTGTTGTTGTTGTTGTTTTTTGTTTTGTTTTGTTATTGTTGTCGTTGTTGTTCTTGTTGCTATTATTGTTCTTGTTGTTATTTTGGTGTTGTTATTGTTCTTCTTCTTCTTCTTCTTCTTCTTCTTCTTCTTCTTCTTCTTCTCGTTATTGTTGTTCTTGTTCTTATTTTTGTTATTCTTGTTATTCTACTGCTGCATTTATTTTATTTTATTAAAAGACATACAACAACGGTTGTATTAATTTTTTAATACAACAGTGGTTGTATGTACTGCACTATCTAGTTTACTATCATAGGAAATAGATTGTGATTGTAAATAACTCACTTACAACCACATCATACCTAACAACGGTTGTTCAACTGTTATTATAAGTCTTTCACAACCGTTGTTATATGTGTTTTTTATAGTAGTGAGTATACATAAATAAATAATTTGCATCAAGAAGTCGCTACCATGTTTTAATATTCTTGAAATTAGTTAATTATACACAAACATAAACAAAACTACTATCTTGCTAGTTAAAAAATATTAGAAGGGATATCTTTTGTTAAGAGGTAAATTATTGACAGCCTGCAATAAGAACAAAAATAATGTTTAGCATGAGAAGATGGTAAGGCTGTATAAAATCCAGTAACGTCTTTCCAAAAAAACTTTCTAAATTGATATAACAATTGAAGAAGATTGACTAGAACTTTAGTATAATATTTTATTTGTTGAAAAATAAGGGAGGAAACTACAGATTCCTCCATTGTGCTTCAGATTTTTTGCTAACAAAAAATAGTTGTTGCTCTAACTAAAGTATAAAGGTGTGAAAACTACACAAGAAGAGGGAGGTTGAATTGTATTTCGCGTTTTCTTATTATTTAGCTTCTGATCAGAGTTTCAGAATCAGAACTGATGTTCAGATTTTGAGTTAATTCTTTTGACAACAGATATAATAGAAATAAATAAAATAACAGCAGAAGACACAAAAGATTTATACTGGTTTCTCCCCTAACTGAGAGTAGTCCAATCCCCTTTTCTCACAAGAGCTTTTCATTATAACCACTTCATGATTATAATCTCTTATGCTTATGCATAAGACTTTTACAACTGGTCAGAGCAACTATTTGAGACCTCCATTTCTTAGAGCACATGTCTAAGACTTAACCTTTGCTCACACCATCAGACTGAGCCGCCTGTTCATCTGTCTTCTGGTTAAGACTTACATTTACTTAGAGCACATGTCTAAGACTTCCTTTTCTCATACCATCAAACTGAGCCGCCTGCTCATCTATCTTCTAGTTGAGACTTATCTTTTCTTAGAGCACATGTCTAAGACTTCCTTTTGCTCACATCCTCTGGGTGAGCCACCTGCTCTTCTAGCCATCCAGACTGAGACTTTCCCACTTACTCAATTAGACAAGCTGAATAAGACTTTTACAACTCAAGCACTTAAGCAATGAGACTTATGTGGCTTAAGCATCTTAGCTCAAGACTTGTTGCTTGAATCCCAATGAAACAAGAATTTTTGCTCAAGCACATAGCAGAAGACTTAATCTAAACTACTGAAAGCTCGGCAGAGTAAAGAACACGGTGTACATGATGCAAGCATTAGAGGTATGGGAGATCACCATAACAAAGACCTAAAGCACTTATGATTTCTAAATATGTATAGGGGTAAGAAATCTTAATGCTTTTACAATTACAATCTAAAACAAAAAATCTGCATATTACATAGAGTTAATAATTGCTTGATCTTGCTAATCATTCAACAGAAGAATCCTTATTAAAATTCAAGCTTGAATCTTCAGCCATATATATATCCTTTCCAGACACTAGCCGTTGAGAAGGTGACTTGATCAAGTATCTTTGCCTTTTCTCCATAGTACAAGAGACGTTGAAGATGGATGCACATCAGAATCTGAATCTAATGTGTAACACGTTTAACCTTTGAGTCTTCAAGAGGTTCTGTACTAATAGATTCGTTGGGAGAAGACATCCATATAATATACCAACTTTTCTTGAGCCTTGCAATCTTGTAGACTTGAGCTGATAGGATGATAAGACAATACAACTTGCTTTTAATAGTACAGATAGTCCATAACTTTATCACCAACTCTGAATGGTACCAGATGCTGATATACATTTACTAAGTGTAGAAACTTGTTTGAATGCTGAGCCCTTCAGTTTAGAGTCTTCGTCAAACCACACTAGCAATTATTCTTCAGACTCTGCCACCAGAAGCTAGCAACGAAGCAAATCCAAGTGTATCTTAAGTAAAATAAATTTTGATTATTTATGTACACGAACCTGCATAAATAAAACACACATCAAATAAACCACTGTTCTTTAAATACTTTTGTTATCATCAAAACTAAAAGAGAATATGTCAAGAAAAAATCTTGTTCTAACAAAGTATGTTTGACAGTCCCAAATAGGGAACTTTAAAATTCACTAATGATTTGTTGAAACCAGGTGTCATAGTATAATTTATACTGTTAAAGTCTTTCTTCAATTATTTTCTTGAATTAGGTGTTTTCTTAGGAGATGTTCACGCTTGTGTTTGAGGATCTAAAATCTTCCTTACGTCCATAGTTGATGAAAATACATCTTTGTCCTATGTCTTCTACTTGGCATGGCGGTGGCGTCTAAATTTGGTGGCCTCTAGTTTTATAGTTTCGAAAATTATCTAAAATGTACTGGACAAGTGTTAGCCCAGAAAGAATGCTAATAACTATGTTGGAAAATGCTAAGTGTCAAGAGTTGCAACGGAAAGCTTCGA